CATTGAGAATTTTATGTTATTACAGTTTTGAGTGACAGAAAAAGAAATTTTTCATAATATCAAGTAAAATGAGGCTGAATATATATTCATTAATTTAAACTCAAACGGATTATGTGTTCTCATATATAATTCGATTTGAAAATGACGTCATCCGAATTTCAGTTCTTAGGTTATAATCTATGGAAATAGTTTATGACAATTAGCATCAAATTTCAAACAAACATATTATACTTGTTAACTGATTTAGTTTTCTTAAAAACTGTCTTCGAAATATGTACATCTATGGAGAGTTATTTCTAATGGACTGGATTTTTAAAATAGGTCAAATGTCATTTGAAGAAACTCACATGAAAGAAAACGTGAGTTCATTCAATGAAGGGAACTGTGTAGATGATGATTTTGATATGCAAATTTGAAGTAACGCGGAAGTCATATGACCATACTATGTCCGATTTAATAATTAACAAGTCGTTCGAAATGCGCGCTCGAAGAAGAAACAAGGATATGAGTGCAATGTCTGTACACACTAGGCTAATTGCTTTGAAAAAAAAATAAGAGAAGGAAATCATGGGTCAGCAGAGAAAATTAAAAATTTTCTATTCTGATTCTTTTAATGAGAAGCATCGCACTATGAAATCAATGATTATATAGGAACAGTAGGAGAACACATGACACATTGTGGGTGTGACTTTTGACTAACTAAAAAAACAGTAGAAAAAAGTATTTTTCTATTCGGAGCTTCGTGTTAAAATAATGTACGTCGAATGTATGAATTAATAATTTTTCTAATAAAAATTCTTTCATAATTTGTTACTGAAGAAAAAAGTGAGTTTATGTCAATACTTTAAATTAGCGAAAAAAGAAAAGACTTCAACTACATAAGGTACATCAAGATTAAAAAAAGCGGAAAAGCTTTTCTCAGGTGACAAGTATCCATTTGTCATCATTTCAATCAGTGATTAATCACTGTGATGGTAGGGTATGGTATTTATCATCGAAAAAAATTTCATCCGTTCTCTATTTCCTTATGAAAATATACTTTTAGATTTAATTTACAGTTATAAAGATTTGTTTCGAGTTAAGTTGTCAGAATTATTTACAAATATTTCTAAACTTTTGATTCGCTTTGTTGACAACAGATGTATTTTACTAAAACTAAGAAATCTGTTAAATCTTAGATTTCTTACCACGAAGTTGGAGATCTGTAGGTTATATATTTTAAAGACTGTGCTCAAGCTAATATTTTGCCATCTGTTACGTTCTAAGAAAGTAGACTTACAAATAAAAATGATAATTATAGAATCATTCAAAAAACTATTTTTATTTAATTATATCCTGTTGATCAGACATTAGAAACCAATCATCGTAAGCCTAGACTTTTCTAAAATTTTGTTAATTATACAGAGATGTGCTCTTCATTAAAACATGACGTCAAAAAATTGTAAATAGTTACAATAATTTCGTTATTAATTTCTAAAGATTATCAACGAAGTTTTTGTTTAGAGAGAGTTCATAAAGTAATAAATATTTATCAACGCCTTCATTTCCTATTTCCTATAACAGCAAAACCTAACAAATATTTTTCTTGTAGTACATATACAATAGATACCTGAATGAAAAGGTTGAAAAGACATAGATTAATTCAAGGGACATTTTTTGACTTAACTTCTTTCTTCTGTCATTTTTTTTCTTCATATATAATCAGTCAAATGAGATATTTCAATATTTAGATTTATTTTCTATAAAGAGATAAAGTTGTCAACATAATCTTCGGCTTTTTTTAAATATGACATCTGATGTACATGTTAACATTATGACAGTAAAATAATTCAACATATATTTCTATCTACTGCTGACACCAATCATTGATACAAGATATTACCCATACAATTGATGTATATAATAATGCAATCCATTTCATGTATTATTTGGTAAACACTACATTGTAACGCATGAAATTACAACTTAGTTTATGAAAATCTATTATATAGATTGCATTATCATATAATTTTGCACTAGCTGTAATACCTTCTAGAGACTATGAAAGAAAGATTATAAAAATAACTATTTCAATAATCATCTTCATTGACGTTTAGTTTAACAGCTATATATGCAAGACGATTTGGAATACCTACCTTTATAATTTAATACTCATTTGAAATCATATTAAACAAAAAATACTTTTGTAGACGTATATGAGAATGATCTAAATATTCTTTAAATCTAAAAATTAAACGAAAAAAAATTTATCTTCTGTCTAATATATTAAAAACAAATCTTTATCAATTCATTATCAGAAACTGTTTTAGAAACAAAATATGAAAGCATATTGTTTATATGAAGAGAAATTTGATTTTCTTTTATTTGTTTTGTCTCGTGAATGATGATAACATTTACTTATCTTTATTAGAAATATTTCTTTCAATTCTAATTTGAGTTTAGTGTATCTATGTACTGATATATAGTTCTTATCAGAATACCTGGAAGCATAATCTGACACTAGTCTATCACAGAATCTTGATAAGATTTGCCTCAGTTCACAAGCATATACTAACTGACAAATCAAATCCTTACTTACCATTCTATGCACAAATTCTTCAATGTATCAGTAGAATGAAGACTTGGGAACATTCTCATAGATAAACTCTTTAAAATAGTTTATTATTCAACACACAAAAAAGCTCTTACTTTACCTTTCAGAGTCCAAGTAATTAAACAGATTAGATGAACTCTTTTACTTCTCGAAACGTTAATTTGTATAATTAAATAAGAAAATCAATGTGTTTTCTTTTTCTTTAAAAACTGTCACGTCTTTTACTCAATGAACTTTATTTAAATGAATATTTATCATTAATTTCATTCAAAAAATATATATTCTTTTCTGTTAAGATAATTATAAAAGTTGATATTTTATGAAACCGATTACTTTAAAAATGTAATTGAAAATTTTCTTTGTACGAGGATTTCTTTTTTTCAAAAATGATACTTTATCGAAATTATTTGAATTTGAGACAAGAAGAAGAAAAAAGCTATAATATAAAATCTTTCCGTAAAGTAGAAATAATATGTACGCATCTAGACGAGAGCAAAAGAACATGGCATGCTTTCTAATTATTTATATATTTAATAATTAATTATATGCTTCTTGTCTTTAAAGGAAATAGGTCATATTTTTTACCTCTCGATCAACTTTACCGTATTCATTTTAAATTTTATATTATTATGTTTGCGTAATTTAATATATAAGTATTGTTTGTTAATATTATTTAAACAAAATCACAAATAATTTATTTGATATTTTGTGTATGATTTTATGCGAATGATATTTTTACGTCAAGCTAACACATGATGAATTCTATTAATAATAATATAATAGCTATTGACGTGAAAATGGCATTGAAGATGATATTTTTGAAGATGAGAAGTAATAACAACAATAAGAATGCCTTGCTATATGAAAGTAATACAAGTTTAATGATATTTATAAGAAGAAAATTTAGATTCAATTTTCCATCAAAAATTCCATTAGTATCATTTGAATATATAATTAAGAAAAAAGTCATTTTTATTATATTGTTCAGTACTTTTTATAGCATACGAATTTTAGACAAATATTGATATATACTATTGAAGATCTTGTTAGATATAATTTTATTAGTTAAACTCAATGCGTCTATTCAGAAACAGTTACATGAAAAATTCATGAGTTTATAAAAAAATTCTACTGTACACAGATATTATTTCATAGAAATTATGCTAACAGTTTTTGCCTATACTTTAGCGCGGATAAGCGAAATCAATTTATCAAGATCATTAAGATACTGCGATTGTGAGGACTTTATTTTAAAAAGAAATCATTTACCTGACTTTTGATAGTATCATATAGGATAGACCTGTTGTATTATTATAGATAACAGATAACTACGATGAAGTCAATATGATAAGAAGCACTGCTCCTTAGTTTCAAACATATTCTCCTTTTTCTCTTTTTTTTATAATCTCTCTTTTCTTCTCTTTTGTTACTTTTATTTCAAAATTCAGCAGATGTCACATCTGATCCGAAATAAATTTATGAACCATGTTTTTCAGTCTTCTTCATTCTTTTCCATTTTAACAAAAATCCATTCGATTTATACACCAAAAAGTTGTCTTCCAGAATCCTAATTTTATGATTAGGTTCTGCTGTTATTATTCCTGTAATTTCTATTATACATTGCAACAGATTTATTGTAAACTATACTGTAAAAGAAAATATCCATCCTTGTGGAATGAAACAGTTTTGTTAGAATTAAAAAACTCCACTAGATAAACAATCGATTCATTCAATATGAAATTTATGTCTTTCACAAATAATGACTATAAGAACAAATCAAGTCTAACACATTGTTTGAATGCGATTTAACAATTTATATAAATTTTTATAATATGTCACGAAGTATTTACGTATTCACTTCTCTAACAGAAAAAGGGTTTGAGTGTCGCTTTTCTTAATCCACACCCATACCCTGCGATCAATTGTTTGGGATCTTTCATATGAATGATTTTCTTAAACGACTTACGTATTACTCAACATCATTTTGAGAACAGTGGCTCTTCCTTGAAAAATGTTGTCAAAACGACTCTAACTCATTAAATTAAATGTTGATTACTAGAAATGTTAAGGGACAACTAATAATGAACGCTAGTGTAAATAATCTTAACTTTATTGCTATTCTAAACGCAAATATTTTATGTAATTAATATCATTAAATAATCATCAGATCGTATTTTTCAAGATATTTAGATTTGAAAATATCAGAACACAAATTCGCGTCTTCCGTACTGAATAAATTAATTATATTTATTATTCAAATATAGGTGTATGTGGATATAGTCTTGATACCTTATCTATACTCTCACTCCCACATCTTATAATGCATGGCAATTGATAATATCAATGGAATGCAAATGTTCGCTGTAGTTTTGGATTACAGCTATATATTAAACTTATATATATTTTATATCCAATTAGCATAATCTTAATAGTATTTCAACGGTCATGGGAAGCGAGCCAAACATGACAGCCAAAGAAATGTGGTTCACTTCATATATGAAAAATTAGCTGATCACACCACAGTTTTTCCTTTACCATCAACCAACCTACTTTCTGCCCTTCATCCATCAATGCGATAATCTTCCAAGATCTATATGAGTGTACTACTTGTAATTTTTTAAAGGCCTATCGGGACATAATACACATAATGTTTCAAGATCTACCTTGACGTAGTACCTATAATTTTCTAAAGTCTATCTGAACGTAGTATGTGTAGTTCTTTAAGATCTACCTGAATATGGTAGAATCATACGAATGAGCGAAGATATACGCGAAAAAAGTGGCTCACCATGACATAGAAAAATGATCCAATCAATATCGCGTCTCTAATTCCTTATAAGTTGAAATAATCTGCATGAACATCCTAACCATCGTAACACAATGAATCAAGCAAATTGTGTTCCAAATTGTACTCTTTTCAATCCAGCTTTTGATGACAATGTTAAAATGTGTATGGCGCGAAGAGCCTGATAAGTTTAAAAAATTAGCCATATTTCCTGTCACATCTTGTTAGTATCTCCGTTCTATATCCTTGAGAATTCAACAAAGATTCTGCAAGGAATCTTTGTGTTTTTGGTTGCAGAAAATAAGCAAAATATGCAGGCATTTTCTGCGAACACAACTTACTCTCATTCCTACATTCTACCTCCTGGAAAAACTGTTTTTTGTTTGTGTTGCTACACTTTTTTCCCGGAAAAATAACTTGTCTATCATCATAATTATATTCTCCTTGTTGGAAGAATTTTTTTATAGTCATTTCTGCATTCTCCTTCCAGAAAAAAAACTTGTTTATTCTTGTCCTCAGACTCTTTTCTGAAAAAGAAACTTGTCTGTCATCATTTCTGCACTCTCATAGACGGACGTATTTTTTTTGCTCTCATTCCTATACTCTCCTTCCTGAAAAAACGCATTTCTTTTTTACTTCAGTCTTTTTCCAAAAAAAAAA